TTATACATCAGAAAAAAAAAAACAACAAAAAACAAACCACTGAGTTACTTGGGAGCTGGTAAAAGGCTCTCTTATGTTTTCTTTTAGGCTTAAATTTAGTTCTGTTTGTTAAATTTAACCAAATAGGAAATTAAATGTCTTTCAAGGTAGAAGGCTAATGTATATAATGCATATTTATATGACTCTAAATATGCATAAATACTTGTACTAACTCCCAGGTTATATTTGGTTGAGTTTCTCAATCGAGAGAGATATTTAAAAAGACAAAATGAACTTGACAAAATCAAACTAACAGTACATCTTATATAATTTTACCTGTAAGTTGCTCATATAAAAGGAAAAACCACACCAACAAGTTAACAATTATTAACAAGTTGTTAATACAAGCAATTTTGGGAGTAGGGGAACACAAACACAATATTTGTGGTAGGTTTTTACATATTGCAAAATTATTAAGATCATAACATTTTTAAGGTAAAACACACGCAAACAACCAATGTGACAAAACAACAACAACAGTATAACTCTTCAGTCTTGTTACTTCATGTTCTCATGTTTCATGCAGTTTGATTTCATCTGCTGGCAGGTTCCTGCAGAAAAAAAAAAGAAATCTGGCCCACTATGGACCTATTATTAAAAAGAAGGAACTATCTATTTATCCAACTCCTTTTCTTATCTGGCATAATGTCACTAGGGCAGTAATAATAGAGAAGTTTGGAACATGTTTTCTCCAAAAAACAAATAAACTCAGGGCATGCTGGAGTTCTTTTTTACTTCTCAGCATCTTTATTTGCTCTAGGGTGGCCAAGGTGTCAGGGGGAAAACACACTGTTACTTTTTCTGTGGGAATCTGAAGTTTCAGGTTTTCCAAGTGGGTGATAGTATTTGTCTGAGTCTGGTCCCCTGTGGTGACATCAGCAATCTGGGCAATCAGTTCAGCTTTGTTATGTACAGCAGCTGTTTGTGAGCCAGTGTCAGAACTCACTGGCAGCTGCCACTGCCCATTAGGTCTATGGAGAGGCCATACTGTCCATGGTGAGTGTATAGGGACTACTGCCCCTTGCTCCTGCAGTTCTGCAGTTTCTGGGATAATGTTTTCACGTGTTCCTAAAGGGAGTGGGTGGGGGTTTACATTTGTTATTTTAGAAGGAGGCAGACTTGGAGCAGTTTTCAACAGACGGACAGAGGGGGATGGGAGACCAAACACCCATTCTCTCCCTCTGGCGTCTGTCCAGGCCCTCCCCTTTAGCAGATCCAACCCCAGGATGTTAGCTGGTAATGGCCCCACAATCATGATAGTTTCTGTGGCTGTCTCATCTCCAGGTAACCAGCATTTCACTGGAGCAGTGTACTGGGGTCGGGATTTGCCAAAAGCATCAGTGACCCATATCTTTTTTTTGTCTGGTTTAATGCCACACTGAGTAGCAGCTTCAGTTTGGAGTGCTGAGACCTGTGCACCCGTGTCTACCACGAATGTAACTAGAGATTTAAAAGGGCCGAGAGGAAAAGTGATTACCAAATCTCCCTGGTTGTTTTCTGTAAGCTTTGTCTCATAAACCCACTGGCTATTTTTTGGCTTATTTACTTGAGAGGAGTAAGTCCAGTTTCTTGACTCAGAACTGGTCAAACTGGTTAGTCCGGTTTTTGGAGAGGTTGAGGGGATCACGGTGTTGGACTCCTTAGAGGGGCTGCCCTTAGGGGGTGCCTTGTGCTCTTTGATCTTATCCCAGTGCTTTATCAAGTATTCTAAATTAGCAGTGGGTAATTTATCCATCACTTCTCCAGGAATTCCTTTTACAACACCTTCCACCCACAAACTGTATCTCTTTCTCCCACTAGATGACACATTTTGTTGACAAATACCTGGCGAGGCAGGTTTTTGGACCTTCCCTGCCCTCCTGCAGTGTATTCTCTGGCCACTCTTACCAGAGAGCCCCAGCTGCTGACCAGTAGCTATTAATTCTTGGGCTATCTCCAACCAGGTTATTCCTGATGGAGCACCCCTTCTTCTAGGTCTGGGGGTTGCTTTTATGCGCTCCTGAAATTGTTTAGCATAAACTTTTAGTGCATCAGGCAGACCTCGAATTAAGACTGGAAATCTCTGTGGATCCGCCTCGAGTTCCATTGGGGAATTTCGTTGTGGGTCTAATAATTTTGTATGCATTAATTGGAGACATGCAGTTTTTTGTACACTTTTTACAATGTGGCCAATTGTGGGTGTTTTAATCATGTAAGGATCTCCCCTTTCTATAGGGTCTAACCCACCTGCCCAGTAGGCAGCTCTCTGGGTCAAGGACCACGGTACTCGGTTATCATTTGTGGTCAGGAAGACCCCTGGGCCCCAAAATCCTCTGGCCTCATCTTCACTTAACAAAATCCGATCCCCTCCTGTAAGGGACACCCTCCACACATATTCAGTCTCTGATTCACTGGCCTTACGACTGTATTTTTCTTGAATTTTGGCCAGTGCTTCCCCCGTGTACGGGTAATTCGTGTACGGGTAATTCGTGTGGTAGTTTGCCGATCTGCCCCCTGGCCAGTGGTTTCGGTTTTAATGAGGGGACGCATATGTATTACCTCGTCTTCCGGGTAACTTTGCTTCAACTCTTCTAATTCCCCAGAGGGGTACAGGGATTTGTTAACATCTAGCGGTTTAGGGTATTTTGAATTAATGTCTCGCAATTCACAATTTTTCATTTCCAGTATCTTTTTAAGCCTTTCATTTTGTTCTTCCTCATCTTGAAGGGCTGACTGAAGCAATGAGTTAATCTCTCTCTCTTTCTCCAGTGCCTGACGTTCAGCAGCTAACTGCAGGCGTTCTTTTCTTAATTGCTCCTGTAATGCCTTCATTGTCTCTTGAAGAGACCTTATCACCTCACTGGTAGATTTTTGAATAGCTTCTTTTTCTAGCTGGTCCTGCAAAGTTCTCGTTGACTCTTGGAAAGATTTTATCACCTCACTTACAGATTTCTGAATAGCTGATTTTTGCTTTGGCACTGCTCTAAGGAACACGCCTAAGACAGCACCCACAAAAACCAGTTCTAAACCAAGGATAACTATCAGGAAGGAATAATCCCCATATAACTCAACCTGGGGTGTCATCCCCTTTGCCTCAGTCATTAACCCAGCTTAGGTTAATGTCTTTCTCCCCCTTAACCCTCTGAGGGCTGGTTTGACTCTCTCCTGGAAAACCTTTCAACAGGTCCAGGTACCAGAGAACCTTTCAACAGGTCCAGCCCACACCAGGAAACCTTTCAACAGGTCTGATGTGCCCGGGTCACACCGAGAGAAGAAAAATTCTCACTATAATTTTACAGCGAAGGGATAGTCACCATTTGACTCGCCCTCGGTATCAGTTTTAGAATACACCGATTACTCCACCACATCCAAAGGATCCTGCCGACTACGCCAAAAATGTTACGACCCACCCCAGGAAAAAGGGGGCAGAGGGGGTAACCCAGGTTTTATCAGTAATTCCTTTGGGGTGGATTAAAGCGAAACGACACTAAATAATCGGTGTTTGAAAACATATATTGACAAGATTTATTCTAACAATTCTGTATTAACAGGCATGCTAGCAGTTTGGGTGCTGTCATACAACAATGTGACACAGAGATAGCCTTTGGGGAGGGAAAGAAAATGCACAGGGGAGAGAAAGGCAGGATAAGAGCAAGGGAGAGTAAGGGAAAGAAAAGCTGAGAGTGGACAGATGTATATAGTCACCGCCCACGGGGTCCAGCGATGCTTCCATGTCTGTCAGTTGAAGTGGTGGCCTTGATCTGCTGGGGGTGAAGGGGGGAAGCCCCCATACTCTAAGAAGTTATGAGTTATTATATAACGGGTCATGCCTCGAGCCTCCAACATCTCCTGGGTCTGTGCTGAGTTTTTTTTGTGTCTCACCCGGTTCCCGCCTTTAGGGAGGGAGGGGCCTGATTGCTCATCAGATGTATCAACAGTCAAAAGCCTGCGAGCTCGGCTTCTTGCCTTTTCAGGGCTTCACACCTTCAGCACTGGAGGGAGGGAGGGGCCCGACTGCTCATCAGAGGTATCATGCAAGTCAAAAGCCTGCAAAAGTCTCCTAGAATGCATAAATCATTAACCATTTCAGTCTCTGACACCACCCCGTGATTTATGCATTCAATAATTTCTCTTCTTTTGTCGTTCACTGTGAATCTTCTTGGTGGGCGGTGCTTTTCGTAAGACAGAAGAGTGAAGGAAAGGAAGGGATAGCCCTAGTATACTGCAATTCTCCCCCCCTTCAAAAAAAAAAAAACAATTTTATAATAACGTAGTAAGCTAATTTGCATTAGTTACTCTCTCCACCCCGTGAGTAGTCATAGGGGATGTAATAGGATCTCAATAGCTACAATCAAATTTCTTAACATTAATGAGGTTACAAACATACACACAAATACTTGAAATTATACATCAGAAAAAAAAAAACAACAAAAAACAAACCACTGAGTTACTTGGGAGCTGGTAAAAGGCTCTCTTATGTTTTCTTTTAGGCTTAAATTTAGTTCTGTTTGTTAAATTTAACCAAATAGGAAATTAAATGTCTTTCAAGGTAGAAGGCTAATGTATATAATGCATATTTATATGACTCTAAATATGCATAAATACTTGTACTAACTCCCAGGTTATATTTGGTTGAGTTTCTCAATCGAGAGAGATATTTAAAAAGACAAAATGAACTTGACAAAATCAAACTAACAGTACATCTTATATAATTTTACCTGTAAGTTGCTCATATAAAAGGAAAAACCACACCAACAAGTTAACAATTATTAACAAGTTGTTAATACAAGCAATTTTGGGAGTAGGGGAACACAAACACAATATTTGTGGTAGGTTTTTACATATTGCAAAATTATTAAGATCATAACATTTTTAAGGTAAAACACACGCAAACAACCAATGTGACAAAACAACAACAACAGTATAACTCTTCAGTCTTGTTACTTCATGTTCTCATGTTTCATGCAGTTTGATTTCATCTGCTGGCAGGTTCCTGCAGAAAAAAAAAAGAAATCTGGCCCACTATGGACCTATTATTAAAAAGAAGGAACTATCTATTTATCCAACTCCTTTTCTTATCTGGCATAATGTCACTAGGGCAGTAATAATAGAGAAGTTTGGAACATGTTTTCTCCAAAAAACAAATAAACTCAGGGCATGCTGGAGTTCTTTTTTACTTCTCAGCATCTTTATTTGCTCTAGGGTGGCCAAGGTGTCAGGGGGAAAACACACTGTTACTTTTTCTGTGGGAATCTGAAGTTTCAGGTTTTCCAAGTGGGTGATAGTATTTGTCTGAGTCTGGTCCCCTGTGGTGACATCAGCAATCTGGGCAATCAGTTCAGCTTTGTTATGTACAGCAGCTGTTTGTGAGCCAGTGTCAGAACTCACTGGCAGCTGCCACTGCCCATTAGGTCTATGGAGAGGCCATACTGTCCATGGTGAGTGTATAGGGACTACTGCCCCTTGCTCCTGCAGTTCTGCAGTTTCTGGGATAATGTTTTCACGTGTTCCTAAAGGGAGTGGGTGGGGGTTTACATTTGTTATTTTAGAAGGAGGCAGACTTGGAGCAGTTTTCAACAGACGGACAGAGGGGGATGGGAGACCAAACACCCATTCTCTCCCTCTGGCGTCTGTCCAGGCCCTCCCCTTTAGCAGATCCAACCCCAGGATGTTAGCTGGTAATGGCCCCACAATCATGATAGTTTCTGTGGCTGTCTCATCTCCAGGTAACCAGCATTTCACTGGAGCAGTGTACTGGGGTCGGGATTTGCCAAAAGCATCAGTGACCCATATCTTTTTTTTGTCTGGTTTAATGCCACACTGAGTAGCAGCTTCAGTTTGGAGTGCTGAGACCTGTGCACCCGTGTCTACCACGAATGTAACTAGAGATTTAAAAGGGCCGAGAGGAAAAGTGATTACCAAATCTCCCTGGTTGTTTTCTGTAAGCTTTGTCTCATAAACCCACTGGCTATTTTTTGGCTTATTTACTTGAGAGGAGTAAGTCCAGTTTCTTGACTCAGAACTGGTCAAACTGGTTAGTCCGGTTTTTGGAGAGGTTGAGGGGATCACGGTGTTGGACTCCTTAGAGGGGCTGCCCTTAGGGGGTGCCTTGTGCTCTTTGATCTTATCCCAGTGCTTTATCAAGTATTCTAAATTAGCAGTGGGTAATTTATCCATCACTTCTCCAGGAATTCCTTTTACAACACCTTCCACCCACAAACTGTATCTCTTTCTCCCACTAGATGACACATTTTGTTGACAAATACCTGGCGAGGCAGGTTTTTGGACCTTCCCTGCCCTCCTGCAGTGTATTCTCTGGCCACTCTTACCAGAGAGCCCCAGCTGCTGACCAGTAGCTATTAATTCTTGGGCTATCTCCAACCAGGTTATTCCTGATGGAGCACCCCTTCTTCTAGGTCTGGGGGTTGCTTTTATGCGCTCCTGAAATTGTTTAGCATAAACTTTTAGTGCATCAGGCAGACCTCGAATTAAGACTGGAAATCTCTGTGGATCCGCCTCGAGTTCCATTGGGGAATTTCGTTGTGGGTCTAATAATTTTGTATGCATTAATTGGAGACATGCAGTTTTTTGTACACTTTTTACAATGTGGCCAATTGTGGGTGTTTTAATCATGTAAGGATCTCCCCTTTCTATAGGGTCTAACCCACCTGCCCAGTAGGCAGCTCTCTGGGTCAAGGACCACGGTACTCGGTTATCATTTGTGGTCAGGAAGACCCCTGGGCCCCAAAATCCTCTGGCCTCATCTTCACTTAACAAAATCCGATCCCCTCCTGTAAGGGACACCCTCCACACATATTCAGTCTCTGATTCACTGGCCTTACGACTGTATTTTTCTTGAATTTTGGCCAGTGCTTCCCCCGTGTACGGGTAATTCGTGTACGGGTAATTCGTGTGGTAGTTTGCCGATCTGCCCCCTGGCCAGTGGTTTCGGTTTTAATGAGGGGACGCATATGTATTACCTCGTCTTCCGGGTAACTTTGCTTCAACTCTTCTAATTCCCCAGAGGGGTACAGGGATTTGTTAACATCTAGCGGTTTAGGGTATTTTGAATTAATGTCTCGCAATTCACAATTTTTCATTTCCAGTATCTTTTTAAGCCTTTCATTTTGTTCTTCCTCATCTTGAAGGGCTGACTGAAGCAATGAGTTAATCTCTCTCTCTTTCTCCAGTGCCTGACGTTCAGCAGCTAACTGCAGGCGTTCTTTTCTTAATTGCTCCTGTAATGCCTTCATTGTCTCTTGAAGAGACCTTATCACCTCACTGGTAGATTTTTGAATAGCTTCTTTTTCTAGCTGGTCCTGCAAAGTTCTCGTTGACTCTTGGAAAGATTTTATCACCTCACTTACAGATTTCTGAATAGCTGATTTTTGCTTTGGCACTGCTCTAAGGAACACGCCTAAGACAGCACCCACAAAAACCAGTTCTAAACCAAGGATAACTATCAGGAAGGAATAATCCCCATATAACTCAACCTGGGGTGTCATCCCCTTTGCCTCAGTCATTAACCCAGCTTAGGTTAATGTCTTTCTCCCCCTTAACCCTCTGAGGGCTGGTTTGACTCTCTCCTGGAAAACCTTTCAACAGGTCCAGGTACCAGAGAACCTTTCAACAGGTCCAGCCCACACCAGGAAACCTTTCAACAGGTCTGATGTGCCCGGGTCACACCGAGAGAAGAAAAATTCTCACTATAATTTTACAGCGAAGGGATAGTCACCATTTGACTCGCCCTCGGTATCAGTTTTAGAATACACCGATTACTCCACCACATCCAAAGGATCCTGCCGACTACGCCAAAAATGTTACGACCCACCCCAGGAAAAAGGGGGCAGAGGGGGTAACCCAGGTTTTATCA